CGTGGCCCGTGCTGCTTGGAACTTTGTTCCGGCTGGCGAATTTTTAACAACAACAACAACAACAACGTATAGTAAGTAAGCGCCAAGCTATTACAACTATACAACACTTGTATGGGGTCAGGATAAGAATTTGGGATGGGACTGCTGGGAAGGGGACGGTGCCCTTGGGGATTGAACGCCTACCTGCATGAAGCGAGACCGTCGCTCTACCGTCCAGGCCAGAGCCAGAATTCGCCAAGTATTTACGCACTCACTTACGACACCTTTCACCAGTAATGGCGGCTGTGTTTACATTTATTAAACCATTTACGAGCATAGAAACGTTCCAATCCAAGGATATTGTTCTAAATAACATCGTAGTGTTTCTGAACTTTTAAACTGCTTTACCATTATTATTGAGAAAAGATCTACAGGTCTCGTAATTGGATGCCTAAAGTTGTGATGGCTCCTGGCACTGTGCCAGGAGCCATGACACTCTCAGGAGCTCCTGACACTGTGGTCTTTAACTTAAAATAGTTTCCTGGTGATTCCTCTAATTTGTAGAATGAGTCTTGCGAATCTTGCATTCAACTTGGTCTTTCTTATGAGAAGGACTCTTAAGTTCTTGATCTCCTTCCCATGACTTTAAGGTTGCCACCTGACTGGTTAAGGTTGCCACCTGACTGGTTAAGGTTGCCACCTGACTGGTTAAGGTTGCCACCTGACTGGTTAAGGTTGCCACCTGACTGGTCAAGGTTGCCACCTGACTGGTCAAGGTTGCCACCTGACTGGTCAAGGTTGCCACCTGACTGGTCAAGGTTGCCACCTGACTGGTCAAGGTTGCCACCTGACTGGTCAAGGTTGCCACCTGACTGGTCAAGGTTGCCACCTGACTGGTCAAGGTTGCCACCTGACTGGTCAAGGTTGCCACCTGACTGGTCAAGGTTGCCACATGACTGGTCAAGGTTCCACCAGCTCTGTTATTGATGCTACATAGCCTTACCGGCGTGGTGCTTTCTTTTGATAATTACTTGATGAATTGTCTCTGTTTTCAGTGTGAATTTTTGCAAGACTTTGAATAGCGGCTTTCAGATCAGTGGAGATCTATGCACCTTTTCTTTCTTTTCAGTGATTTTTTTAATAAAATAATAATTACCCAATATTATGTAGAAGAGTTAGGGTTCCCAATCTGTGCTTTGCAATCTATAACAACAATTATATTTATTTTTAAAGGCTTCGTTCGTGATTATAGAATTCGTAATTCCACCTATCTAATTGGATTAATAAAGTTATAATTTCAAATCTGGGCTAATTATATTAATAAAGCTATAATTTCAAATCTGGGTTAATTATATTTCCTGGCTCATTACCACATGTATTACGGGGGCACATGACAATGACTTCAGGCAGCATGTTGTTGTTGTTATAGATTCAGCTACTCGTTCCGAGTAGCACGGGCTATGGTGAACCCGTAGTGGACTTACCTGGCACAGGAGCGGGGCTGAATGTGTGTTCCAGCAGCATGTTGGGCTCCTTAAGTATTATATCGCTTCTGTGTTGTTGTTGTTGTAGTGTTTCTGCCCTCTGGAGAGAGGTGTAGAGGCGCACTTATGGCCTCATTGGTGTACCTCTACACCCATGGCCTCTACAGGTAGGTGGAGTGATCCGTGGCTGTTCTACCCACCTTCTTGCCCTCTACCACCTACCCACACACTGTACAAATTGAAAAGGTACAGGTGAAGACAGAAGTTTTGAAATGGGGAAATATAGTGCGAGTTATAACAGCAGGCGGGCTCTCCGCCTTGCTGACACGGTGTGTTTACTAGTTGTGTGTACTAGTTGTGTTTTTGCGGGGGTTGAGCTTTGCTCTTTCGGCCCGCCTCTCAACTGTCAATCAACTGTTTACTAACTACTACTTTTTTTTTCCACACCACACACACACACACACCAGGAAGCAGCCCGAAGCAGTGTGTGTGTGTGTGTGTGTGTGTGTGTGTGTGTGTGTGTGTGTGTGTGTGTGTGTGTGTGTGTGTGTGTGTGTGTGTGTGTGTGTGTGTGTGCGCGCGCGCGCGTGTGTGTGTGCGTGCGTGTGCGTGTGCGTGTGTGTGTGTGTGTGTGTGTGTGTGCGCGTGTGTGTGTGTGTGTGTGTGTGTGTGTGTGTGTGTGTGTGTGTGTGTGATGGCAGCTAATATTGCTTTCCTGTCAGGGAGCTGTGTGTGAGAGGTTCTTCATGTATTTCTGCATATATGGATGTCTATAGATGAATACTGTGTAGCAATCACATATACACACTCCGATGCTGTCACACATAATTTGTGTTTAAGGATCTTCATGTTATTATCATTTTTTTGTTTTAAGAGGGGGTGGGAGGGAGGTATTTATGATTAGTACTTCATCTGGAAATTTTGTAGGGCGTGGTTTTCTTAGAGGAGATGGAGGATCTTGAGTCACCAGCTGTAGGAGCGTCTCATCTTGGAGCAGTCTTGCTAACACTGGGGGTCTTGTAACATTTCGAACGTGTTCCCACACCATGATGGCTTGGTGCTGTAGTCTGATGTTTAGTGGTTGTGTTCAAGAGGTCACGGAGCTGGGCCCGGTCCCGGTCAGGCCTCTCGATCCCCTCCAAACACACACCGAAACTACGACGTTGGTACAACGTTCGAACAATTCTTAACTCCTCCTAGCCAGTTATAACAACCAATATAGCAAGTTGTAACAACGTTCTAATACGTCATAAACACGTTAAGCCAAGATGTAACAACTTTATTACAAGTTGTAACAAGCGGAAAATAGAGATAGTTACGGTTTGTTTCCAGGGTCTGGAAACACAAACCTTTATTTGAGACCAAACCTTGGTCTCGGCCCGGGCCAGGCCTTAGGGCCTGGTCTAGTTCCGGCCTGGGATAGGCCTCCCCTTGGGCGAGGCTAGTCCTCTCCCGGCCTGGCCTCCCTGGCCCGGATCTCTCTGACCGGGGCTGGTTTGGTCTTGGCCGGGGCCGGACTTAGCCTCGCTTTTCAGAGCTGGTCTCGGTCCGGGGCGAGCTAGGCCAGGCCTCCCTGCCCAAATCCCGGTCCGAGGTCTGGTCCTGCCCGGCCTGGCCCAATATGCCCACACAACTTCACCTCTTCCACATGTATATTTAAGACAAAATTGCCCCTTGCGTATTCATTCATTACCTGAAGATGTTCCAGAGTGGAAAGAAACGTTGTAGAAAATAAACCCTTCAATAATCACTAAGTTTCTTTACTATCAATTTCGGTAACTTGATTGTTCTTCTTAATCCCGAGAGTAAGAATATAGTTAGAAGCTTAGAAAGCTTGTATTATAAGATCATCAACGTCAGCAATGTGGTCATATGCTACGGAGTACAGTCAGGCTCGTTCTTGACTCGTAATTGCAACCCGTCCTCACGCTAGGTTGGTTAAAACAGCGGCCGTCCTCCCCAGACGCATTCATCAATTTTAACATACTGTGTATTTAAAATTGGTTTCTCATATATAAATTAATATTATTATGCATAAAATTTTGATGTATAGTTAGGCGTAGGTTAGGTTAGGTGTTTAGGTTCTGTTGACGATTATTTGTAGTACGTGGGTGAAGTATTTATAGCATTGTGGTTCGAACAGAGGACGGAAGCGAAAGACTTGTTCCGGAAGTTGAAGTGTTCGGACGTCAGCAGTTGAGAGTCGTGTGTAAACAGCATTTCATTCATAAACGGGGGGTTTGGCGGCTGGATTAACGAGCTTAGGTATTTGTATGCGAGGACGGGGTACATAATTCCGTCCTCCAAACAAAGACCCAAAAGGAATTCCATGCACCCGCCAAACCCCCATGACAATCGCCAACAGACCCTAAACACCTAGCCTAATCTATGCCTATATATGCACAATATGCTAATATATTTTACTATAAATTTATATTTGAAAAAGAAAATCCTGTTTTGAACAGCATGTTAAAATTTATGAATGCGTCAGTGGGGTCGACCGCTGGATGGAATGGACTTGAGTCGAGGACGGGTTGGTCTGAGGACGGGTTGCAGGAGTTAAGTCAGCTTGTTGTGGGGCTGCATCCTGTTTGAGAGGGAGGGGGGGGGGCGTCAGTAATTCGACCTCGAGGGGTACCTTGATATAAGCCTAACACGTATAAATAAATAGAATCTGGCTGTCTGTCCCCCAAAACAATGACGTAATTATTATATTTAACCAAATATGCTTAAAGGAATGCCTGCCGGACAAGTATACAAAGATATACTATGTATATGCATGTATATATGTATTTCTGTATGTAATATTAACAATTGTGTAACCAGTTTCACAAGATTATCAGGTGCTTGGCTAAATTAACTATGGGTTTCAGTTCCTAAACCCATTACGTGCCTCTGTCCCATTTCACCACCGCCCACGAGATGGGTATGGGGTGCATAACAAGTTAATCAATCAATCATCATATTTGTTGCATCCGTTGACACCTCCACATTCAATAGGAAAAACTAGCAGTGACAAAATGCATATCAACATACCCCTATACTAACACACACTTACGAGGTGTGTGTATTATATAAAAAAAATACTTCCACTAGTTAAAAAGTTTTGTCTCCGGGTCCGCAAGGCCTAGGAAGTACTTGACTCATAATTGAGTCAAAGCATTCGGCCAATTAAATGCAGATGTTTGCAGAGAGGGTAAATGTGATTGGTTAACACAGGAGACTTTAGCACGGTGGGCGTCTGGCTGTGAATGAGGCGGAGAAAAGTCAGGGCTAGCAACTCTGATGGCCCGCACCCTCAGAGTCCACCTACCATTTAACGTCGACAATTTTAAACCCTATTTTAACGCTAAATTCAATCCACTTTCTCGAGTCACACTAAATAGATGTATATTTTGGGATGACTTGTGTTGGCGTTTGTTGTTGTCTGTGCAGTGGCAGAGGGATAGAATATACCGCAAAATATACCTGCCGTCAACAGTATGGCTCCCAAGGGCCAGTAACTAACTTGGCGGAGTTAGTCACATGTTGGTGGTGGTGGTGACGGGGGGCCGGTGTGTAGGGCTGCTCCTCTTTACTGCTTTCATTGCTGACTTCAGCAACCCGTTGTGTGTGTCCCACTATAGATGAGATAAATTCATTTGGTGTAGAAAATTGAAGCCGTATTTGCAGCGTTATCTTTTAAAACTCGTGAATTGATCGGGGAAAAAAGAAAAAGTTTGGTGGTGCTTATTGCGTAATATTAAACAAACAGTTGAAGCGGTGCCCCCAGGATGGAGTTTGAGTGAACGTTACAGTGGATACTTTATTGGCCAGATACTGGAGGTGGATGTATTGACACACGGGCCAGGAGGGTGTGTGGCAGGTCAACAATTCTCAAGGTGGGTAGGCTGTGGCGTCTTGTTCAGGGGGGGCGGGGTTGAGGGTCTGCATGTTGGCACTCAATGGGTAGTGGGGGGGAGGTAGTGCCGGGTCTGGCATGGTGGCACCGACTACTATTGCCATTTAGCAAAGTTAGTCAACTTGAAGAAGCAAATTATAGCGAGGTAATTAACATTGTTATTGCTAGGATAACTAAGCGTTCTAAATTTTTGATTTGACGAATTGATAAAGCCAGTTTCAGGCTTTAGATGTTTTATTCATAAATTCTAGGCAGTTAAAATTATAATTAGCGTTCAGTATTGTATTATATATTCGTAGACCAGTACCAGCACTGGTGAGAGGACTCGCTAGGCTTCGCTAATGCTAAGACACCTTGAAAATATAATAGACAAAGTAGAGGACATACATTCTTGCTGATGTTTAATTGTTCTGCATATATGTTTTGCTTAATAATTGGAAGACCTGTGCAATTGCGACCATTAATCAAGCTGACATGTTTAACTGGAGGAATATTTGTCCCTTACTATTATTCCCTCGTGCGATAATAGCCATACATTGTAATACAATTACCGTCGTCATCTGTGCTGTTACCGCTGTTATATTTCTCAGACTTGAGGACATATTTGCCTAGAGGTGTGACATATTGGTCTCTCCCAACATGGAAATGTAATGCCCCTTCCCTCCCTCCCCACCACCATTTATAACCAGACGCCTAATGCACGCATAATGTCCAAGATAAACCTAATTTCTGTCTTGCCCACACGGCGCTCCACCACCGCCCACCTCCTTCGCCACCCCCCCCCCCACAACTCTGCCCCACTTTGCAACCCATCTCCACCCACCCACACCCACCCACACCCACTATCCCCCACCCACCACTGCCACACGACTGCCACCACTGTGTTGTCCACTTTACTATCCTTGTTCCGCATACTTACTACCGTCTCTGCACTTGTAGCTAGCTATTTTAGCTGTGTAGGCATTTTAGTTTGCATTAATTATTTGAAGCATTACATGGCTAAATAACCGTATTTATCTGAACAATGTCTTATTTCCTAGACGTTTGCCGGGTAGACAGTGAGTGATCAGGTGCAGGCACAATATACTCACGTGCTTCCCGGTGATTGTTTTCTAATTATTAAAACCGTATGAATCGTTAGGCTGTGTTAACACAAGGCTGTGTTAGCTTTGGGTAGGTTGGGTTCGGGCGAACAGTGTTGGGATGATTGAAATACGTTGGCGAAGCAACTTTTTTTTTTTAGGAAGCGACTTGCATTCGGTCAGGGGGGGAGGAGTATTTAGCAATTGTTTCTGTCAAGGACCTGTTCAAGACGCTTCTTGTTGCCGGTTGATCTCGGCTGGTTAGGACAACCATGTCTTTGTGTGTGTGTGTGTGTGTGTGTGTGTGTGTGTGTGTGTGTGTGTGTGTGTGTGTGTGTGTGTGTGTGTGTGTGTGTGTGTGTGTGTGTGTGTGTGTGTGTGGTTTACGGGGTGTGAGTTTGAGTGTGTTAAAACCTGGTTGATATCTGCTTGATACCTGGTTGATGGGGTTCTGGGAGTTCTTCTACTCCCCAAGCCCGGCCCGAGGCCAGGCTTGGCTTGTGAGAGTTTGGTCGACCAGGCTGTTGTTGCTTGGTGTGGTTGTGCTGCTTTATGGCAAGATTTTGTTTATTATGGCGTGTTGACGTAGTTGTGGGGGAGCATAGCCAGGGTTGCCATGGTCACGGAAAAGCTTGGAAAGGCAATGGGAAAAATCATGAATACAAAGTTTTGTTGACCTGGTGTATAAAAAATATATATTTGCAATTTACATTTTTAGGTACTGTCGTTATTAACTGATGGCTGGCTAACTTGATTTGCTAAATTGCTCTATATGTGTGTCAATATTCAGTCTAAAAAGAGACGGATCGGATGGTTGTTCTCAATATACCGTCTAAAAAGGGACGGATGGGATGGTTACTGTCAAAAGCAGCAGACCGTCCAGATAAAGGATGATAATTACACACAGAAATCACAATTGCGTGATGCATCAAATGAAGAAATCCTCCCGGACGTAGGTTCGAACCCTCATCACGGCCCTTGAGGATTTGTTCAAAGGATGATAATTTTATAGTCGTGTCTGTGTCAATACTCTATACCCTGTACTTGCATTTTGTGCACATTTTCAACGTCAAAGCGTTTTCGTGTTTAAGCATTAGATGATTTCTTCAAAGACTTAAAACAATATTACCATGTTATTGTGTAAAGGAGGAATTGTAGATGTTTATCTCTCAGAATGTTCGGCAATATGTTTATTGTTTGTGATGTGTATATATGTATGAACACGATGTACTGAACGGGGTGAGAATAGCTTGAGCTTCCTCATCCCTTTGTGTGTATTTTACCTCAATAAACTTATTTCAATTTCAATGTTATTGTCACGGAAAAGACCAAAAATCTGATTTGCTTGGTAACCGTGAGAAGCGTACGATGGTTGTGAATAGTACACAAATGTTTCACTTGGCTGTTGGTGTTGTAGGATGTTGTTGACATAGTTGATCAGGGGCCAGATTCACGAAACAGTTACGCAAGTACTTACGGACGTGTACATCTTTCTTCAATCTTTGGCTGCTTTGGTTACATTTATTGAACAGTTTGCAAGCATGAAAACTTCCCAATCAGCTGATGCTATTGTTATAATTAGGCTCCTGGTGAGTTGGAGCTCATTAACTGTTTAATCATTGTAAACAAAGCCGCCAAAGATTGAAAAAAGATGTATGGGTTCGTAAGTGCTTGCGTAACTGCTTCGTGAATCTGGGCCCCTGGTCTAGAGAGGAGTCTAAGATTGTTCCCCTTTTGTTTGGGTGCGGTTGTGATCCTAGCTGTGTACTCGTCTAATTGTGCTTGCGGGGGTTGAGCTGTGGCTCTTTGGTCAGGCGTGCTTGTGGTGTTACTTGCTGTGTATTAGCGGGGTTGTTTCTTGCAGCGGGTTGACGTGGCTGCGTTTCTTGCAGCGTGGCGTCGATTTGCTTGTCAGCCAGCGCTGAATTGACGTGGTTGCGTGGCATGCGTGGCCTTGTCGTGGTTGTGGTCGTAAGACAAGGCAGTGTTGACCCTCTGGTGCAGGTCTGGGGAGGGAGGGAGAGAGAGCGAGAGAGGGGGTGCAGGTCTGGGGGGGGGGAGAGAGAGAGGGTGCAGGTTTGGGGGGAGAGAGAGAGGGGGGGGTGTTGGTGCAGGTCTGGGGAAAGAGGGGTTTGGTACACCTGGGGTGTATGTACCCCCTCTCGGTGTTGCTGGGTGGTGGAGGATACATGTATTTCTGGCACTTCACGTCCCATGTTGCCACTCCTGGCGAGTGTTGGAGTCCACTCCAGGCGCGGGTCGAGGGGTGTGTGGCTTGTGGGGATGAATTGTTAGTAATGTTTTTTTTAGCCGAGTATTCAGGATGTATGTATAATGTTGATATGTATAATTCAGTGTATCGTTATACGGATTATACGGGTTATACGGAGGGCGTATACGGAAGGATTAAAACAGAAGAGGACTGTTTGAGGCTTCAAGAAGACCTAGACAAGCTGAAAGAATGGTCGAACAAATGGTTGTTAGAGTTTAACCCAACCAAATGTAATGTAATGAAGATAGGTTTAGGGAGCAGGAGGCCAGATGCAAGGTATCATCTGGGAGAGAAAATTCTTCAGGAGTCAGAGAAGGAAAAAGACTTGGGGGTTGATATCACGCCAGATCTGTCTCCTGCAGCACATATCAAGCGGATAACATCAGCGGCATATGCCAGGCTGGCCAACATACAAACGGCATTCAGAAACTTGTGTAAAAAATCATTCAGAACTTTGTATACCACATATGTCAGGCCAATCCTGGAGTATGCAGCCCCAGCATGGAGTCCATATCTAGTCAAGGATAAGACTAAACTGGAAAAGGTTCAAAGGTTTGCCACCAGACTAGTACACGAGCTGAGAGGTATGAGCTACGAGGAGAGACTACGGGAATTAAACCTCACTTCGCTGGAAGACAGAAGAGTTAGGGGGGAATGATCACCACATTCAAGATTCTGAAGGGAATTGATAGGGTAGATAAAGACAGTCTATTTAACACAAGGGGAACACGCACAAGGGGACACAGGTGGAAACTGAGTGCCCAAATGAGCCACAGAGATATTAGAAAGAACTTTTTTAGTGTCAGAGTGGTTGGCAAATGGAATGCATTAGGAAGTGATGTGGTGGAGGCTGACTCCATACACAGTTTCAAATGTAGATATAGAGCCCAATAGGCTCCGGAACCTGTACACCAGTTGATTGTCAGTTGAAAGACGAGACCAATGTGCCAAAGCTCAACCCCTGCAAGCACAACTAGGTGAGTACAACTAGGTGAGTAAACCCACCTACCTACCTACCTACCTTCAGGAAGCAGCCCGTAACAGCTGTCTAACTTCCAGGTACCTATTTACTGCCAGGTGAACAGAGGCATCAGGTTGAACAAAACTCTGCCTATTTGTGTAATCACGAGGCTTTGTTGCTGTCATTACGTGACGAAGGTATTAAATATACATTAGTATTTCCAGGTCTCAGAGAGTGCAGCATGAATGTTTAATTTTATTGTTGAAATTGTATTTATATATATACAATTCATACATTTTTGTAAAGTTTCTAGCATGCATAGCATTTCCGGCAGGTCCTTAATCCTAATTGTTCCCCGGAATACGACCCGCCAAATCGTTTTAACAACCAGGTATCCATTCACTGCTGGGTGAACAGAGGCGTACAGTTAAGGATTGGCGCCCAGTCAATCCTCCCTGGCCAGGATACGAACCCAGGCCAAAGCGCTCGCGAAGCGCCGGGCGAGTGTTTTACCACTGCACCACACGGGGACTTTATGAACAAGGAACATGTTTATAAAGTACAGTGGAGAGATGTGCGTGTATGTGTGAATGGTGGTAACATGCTATTCATGTTAAGAGAACAGTATAGTCCCCGAGACCTTGCTCGATTGGTTCTGTCTCCAG